AAAAAAGAATTACAAAGATGAGGGAAAAAAGAAAAAAGAAAAAACATATCAAAAATTCTGGAGGCAATCTACTGACCACAGACTAAAGAAATGGATGAGGGACAGTGAGGAGGAGCATGGAAATCCCAGGACTGGTCTCTACACTGTTTGTTTGGTTTGTTGTTACTTGTATATGTAGCCCTGACTGACCAGAAACTCTATATAGACCAAGCTGCCCTGAACTCTTCAAGTGCTGACCGTAAAGGTGTGTGCCAACAACCCCAACACATCCTCCATCTTGACAGAAGCTAACAGGAAACTAAGGACTTCAAGAGTACCCTCGAAGAAAGCTGGGGTACTTGTGTTATTGCAGTGTATTGGGGAAGCAGAGTCCAACTCCCTGATGTTCCATTGGCAATTTTGTAGATTAATGCGATTTGCGGTTTTTGATTTGTTTTTGTTTTTTGTTATCCGAGGTTTGACTAAATAGGCCAGGCTATACTCAAGCTTGCCGTCTTCCTTCCTGAACCTCCACGGGCAGCTAGCTGCCATCATGCCCAGCAATAAAACATTTTCTTCTTTGTTGCTTGTTTCTGGTGCTGGTCTGGAAGCCAGGACTCCCCAGCCCTGAGATAGTTCCCAGGGATCCTTGTGAGCTCTGTTTCACGACATCCTCACTATCAAGTTTTGAACAGATTTTTGTGGTCTTGCTTCATTCAAATACTTTACAGGAGAGCTTTTTGTGTGTTCCTTTGTTTTATTTTGTGGAGGTGGGGTTTTCGGTGGCTCAGGCTGGTCTGGAACTCTTTAGACAGCACAGGCTGCAACAGCATTTTGATGCTCCTGTCTCGGCCTCCCCAGTACTAGGATTATAGATGTGTGCCTTCGCCTCCAGCTTTTGAGGATTTTTGTTTTGTTTTGTTTCATTTTCAAGGCAGGGTTTCTCTATAGTCCTGGCTGTTCTGGAATTCACTCTCTAGACCAGGCTGGCCTCAAACTCAGAGATCTGCCTGCCTCTGATTCCCAAGTGCTGGGATTAAAGGTGTGTACCACCACCACCCAGTCTGGAAGACATATTTATGTTTAGGAAGAAAGATTCAAGTTTTCTTGTCAGCTTACAACAACTTCCAGGTGGTTTATTTTTGGTTTTTTTTGTTTTTTGTTTTTTGGTTTTTTTTTTGGTTTGGTTTGGTTTGGTTTGGTCTGGTTTGGTTTTTAGAGATAGGGTTTCCCTGTATCCTTGGAGCCTGTCCTGGAACTAGCTCTTGTAAACCAGGCTGGCCTGGAACTCACAAAAAATCTGCCTGCCTCTGCCTCCCACATGCTGGGATTAAAGGCGTGAGCCACTACCACCTGGTTTACAACTGCCAGTTCTTAGGATTTGATTTGTTGCACACTGCCTTTTTTTTGTTTCTTCTAGTTTATTTGTCTGTTTGTTTTGTTTTGTTTCTTGAGACCGGGTATCTCTCTGTATCCCTGGCTGGCCTGGAACTCCCTCTGTAAACCAGGCTGGTCTTGAACTCACAGAGAGTCACCTGCCTCTGCCTCCTGAGTGCTGGAATTAAAGGTATGCACCACCATGGCCCAGCTCTTATTTCTTTTTTCACCCTCCTCAAAATTCCCCTTTTTTACCCACGGCATACAAAGTGAGCTCTCAGGCCTTTCAATGACAGGATTTGATCTACCCTGGAAGATCACAGAAGCTTCCAGAAACCGTTTAGGTAGTGTGGGATAATGATAGACTTTTTAAACCCTTCCTTAGTGGCTGAGCACGGTGGTGCACGCCTTTAATCCCAGCGCTCAGGAGGCAGAGGCAGGTGGATCTCATGAGTACAAGGCCAGCGTGGACTAGTGAGTTCCAGGCGTGGGGGGAACAATTTCTGTTTTG